ATCGTATTGGATTTGGATGACAAATTTGATGTCATCCTTGGAATACCGTGGCTCAGAAGGTACGAACCACGGGTAAACTGGCAACATCGAATAGTAACGATGCCTTCCGCTTGTTTATCAGATGGCCATCTGAAGAACGTTTTGGAGTGTCCACAAGCGTGTGGATGTACAACGAGTGAGTGCGATGGCTTCACTTGTGGTACGATCGTTAGTACGACTGCACAAAATCTTAGTGTACCAAACGGTAACACTTCGGAATAAGGTTCCGGCGGCTGTGAGGAAACACAGGCTGCGCCGAAGGTCCACCACTCGATTAAATCGAGAGAACCGGGACAAAGATGTATCCCTAGCGGGTAACATCTAGAAGAGAAACCATCGACCGCTCAGGTTAAGCGAAACGATAATCCTAGATCGACTGGAGAGTCTTTCGTAGAGGATCTCGCTGTGGTTGCACAACCCCAGCTAGAGGAAGTTAAGGGAATAAGTCCCAAGATTACAATACGGCGGAAATAAGTTCCCCGAAACCCGCGGGAATAAGTCCCTGGGAAGTCGAAGGAATAAGTCCTTCGAGGCCTGAGGGAATAAGTCCCCAGGAAATGACAGAGACATTGAATGTCATAGTCAATAACGGATCAAGTGTAGGCGCTTATACACTTGATCTGATTGCGCCTCCGAAGTTGACTTCGGAGATCACTCAGTTGCCAACGCTCGAACATAAAAGGTTCCTGCGTGATCTTTGTAGTGGCAAAGTCAAGCAGGTCTGCGTACTCGTCGCTGGCGACGAGTGTGTAACCGACATAAGGTCAGCAACAATGTTACTGAGAACTAGAGAGTTCTCAGTAGTTCATCTATGGACGAGAGTGTCCTAGATGAAAAGACACGAATTGAGCGATATGACTCCCAATCATGGGGATCGCTCAAGACAAATCCTCTCTATGAAGATTTGGTTGAATCTAAGGTTGTATTCCCTGAAACTGCTCCGTGCGAATTACCGAAGGATAAAGGTATTCGACACGAGGTCGAGCTTAAACCAGGCTCGAAGTACTGTGTCATGAAGCAGTGGCCACTGCCTCGTGAACAAGTACTTGCGATCGACAAGTTCTTTGCCGATCGTTTAGCTGCGGGCCATGTGAGGGAATCAACTTCCCCACATAGCTCTCCGACCTTCTGTGTGCGAAAAGCAACAGGAGGGTGGCGGATAGTGCACGCGTTCAACAAATTGAACGCTGCAACGGTACCGGCTCAGACGCCGATACCGAGGAAGGACGTAATCATTGATGGTATGTCAAAGAGTACCATCCTTTCGTCCATGGATTTGATGGATGGCTTCTATCAAATCCTTATGCGGGAACGGGATATACCCTATACCGCAGTTAGCACGCCTAGCGGCATGCTCTGGGAATGGCTAGTAATGCCACAAGGGCTCAGTAATGCCCCTGCCACGTTCAACAGATGTGTATCACATCTGTTGAGACCAGTACGAGAATTCGCGCCGAGTTATTTCGATGACGTATTCATCCATAGTCGGGCTATGGATGGAAAGTCGGATGTTGAGGTTCACAGATACCACGTTCGACAAGTTCTTACAATCATGCGAAAGCATCAATTGTATGCTAACCTCAAGAAGTGTATATTTGCAGCAAGCGAAATACCACTTCTTGGGTGCATCGTTGGTAAGAACGGTGTACGTCCTGATCCCGAAAAGATCAAGGCGATCACCGACTGGCCTGTGCCGGTCGATGTCAAAGGTCTTCGAAAATTCCTTGGGCTAGCGGCGTATTTGCATAAGAATTCACGCAATTACGCCGAGATGACTGTGCACCTCTCTCGTTTGTTGAAAAAGAACGAGAGGTGGTTATGGAATGCTGAATGTCAGCGCTCCTTTGATGGTATCAAGCTCTGCTTGATACCATCCCCAGTCCTAGCAATTGCCGATCAGGACAGGCCATTTCATGTGGTCTGTGATGCCAGCGATTTCGCAATCGGCTGTGCATTAATGCAGTACGATCTTGAAGGCGTTGAACGCGTCGTCTGCTATCAGTCGCGTCAGCTGCAACCAGCTGAGCGGAACTATCCAGTGCATGACAAGGAACTCCTTGCCATGAAGTATGCACTCGCGAAGTTCAGAGCCTATCTATTAGGAGATAGACCCTTCATTGTTTACACTGACCATGCGTCATTACGCACGACAGTGAACAGCCCGCAACTTTCACAACGAATGGCGCGGTGGTTGTCATTCTTTGCAGAATACAACTTTACGGTCGAGTACAAACCAGGACGACTTAATGTCGTCGCTGATGCACTCTCACGTCGTCCCGACTTTGAAACAGTCGCGAAACCCAACAGTGAGACAGTCACTGTTGCGGTTATGACGTCCTCAGTTCCATCTACAATGTTGTATGATGATGTGAGGAGGGCATACGCCCAAGATGGTGAGATAGTGAAGTTGTTGACACATCTCTCCCAACCATCTCGAGAATCGTTGAAACGATTGTCGTCTGCGTATCGATCTGCATTAGATCGATACACTACTCGCAACGGGTTACTGAATTATACAGCCGTTTCTGGTGACACACCACGTGTTGTCATTCCAGATGATACTGATCTGCGTTTGCGGATCATGTTCGAGTATCACGATGCTCCTATAGGAGGACATCGTGGCCGGGAGAAAACAAATCTCACGGTGAGTCAAGACTTTTACTGGCCCCGCCAGTATCAGTTTGTGCGCAAGTACGTTCGCGCATGCGAAGTTTGTCAACGAGTGAAGTCAAGTCCATCACCGCGTGCACCTTTACAGCCTCTACCGGTTCCGGCTGAGTGCTGGGAATCCATCTCAATGGATTTGTCTTCGGGTTACCCAAAGACGCACGCGGGAATACGGGTATTCTCGTATTTGTTGACAGATTCAGCAAAATGGTACACCTTGTGGCTGTACCAGAGTAAATCACGGCAAGTTGCTGTGCTTGTATCTTTATTGACACCATCTTCCGACTTCATGGGTTGCCCCGCGAACTCGTATCAGACAGAGATCCACGATTCACTGCTGATTTCTGGCGTTCCGTGTTCAAATTACTCGGAACGCGCTTGAAGATGTCGACATCTGATCATCCAGAGTCAGATGGTCAGACGGAACGTGCCAATCGTGTCCTCGAAGAGATACTACGAGGATACGTACACTCCTTTAAGAGTTGGAGTGAGTTTTTGCCAATGGTAGAGTTTGCCATTAACAACTCGCTGCATGCGTCCACGACACATACACCGTTTTACGTGAATGGATTACGCCATCCGTGTACCCACCTTACTAGAGTGTAACTCTGGTTTAAGGGGGGGAGAGACTCGCGCGAGCAAAAACCGATTTTATTCACGCTCATAAAGCTCTGACGGTGAGGTCATTGCGTTGGATGTCGATATCGATAACATCGATATCGAAGAAGATGATGCCAGTGAGAGCGCGGAAGTCCTCACTGAAGAAAAGGTTGATGTTGCTGCAGTGCACCCACAGCGCACTGAAGCTAACGGGTCATCAGATGAGTTCATTCTGGCTCGTGAAACGGTAGTCCGTTTTGTGCAAGACTCCATCGCCGAAGCGGTAGATAAGCAAAAGCAAAACGCTGACAAGAATGGAAGGGCAAAAACACTCTTTTATTTAGTAAAGGTGACTTAGTCCTACTGTCTACGGTTAATCTACCAAAGCATGTAGTGACTAACTTGGGTAGCAGTAAACTACTACCCAAGTACATTGGCCCTTTTCGTGTATTGCACCGCCTAGGCAATGCATACACGATCGAGTTGCCACGTAAGATGCGAACGCATCCCACGTTTTACGTTGGTCGGCTTAAGCCGTACCATCAGTACGCTGCTTCTTCCGATGAAGAACGCCCTTGCGCTCAAGCATCTCGCAGAGCCTTGTGCTCCCGATGGTTGGCATCAACAGGGGTCTGAAGAGCAGTTATCTCAGCCCGAGACCGGTCAACATTCCCACGAGCTACCCTTAGCTCGTCACGCAGAGATGTCAAAGCTCTCTCGTTCTCGGGCTGATCAAAGGCAAACTCAGCTCGATGCTTCAAGACAGCGTCCGCCGGTTGGAAACGCCTGTCCCGCTCATGTTCGAGATCGCCGCGTAACCCTTGCGTTACGCGATCAAAGAAGCTCTCGGGAACACACGCTTCCCCACAATTGTGTGTAGAGAGCGTCTTCCCTCCTACTCCACCTCCATTAGAGGACTCTCGCGGTGGCCAGCGCTATCGGGTTGAGCAGCTGTTGAACCACCGCGACGTGAACGGACGTCGGACGAGTTATCTCGTCCGGTGGCGCGGCTATCCCCCGTCCTGGGATACTTGGGAGCCCCGCTCCCAACTAATTATTGACGTACTGGGTCTGGTTGAGTTGTACGATGCGGCATATCATGTGCTGCAGAAGGACCGCCGGAGAAAGTCTTCCCGGCACGGTCGTAAAGGGATTTCAGGTTGTCAATCCCTTCGTACATCTCAGTAGAGACACGTACGCGCCACCACGGGCTATTAGGGAGGTAAGCCTCCTTAGGTGCTCGTGCAGAGTTGTTCACAACATGGGCACGAGTCTCCCCAAGAGAGGCAGGGTGATCCTTTCTCCCTTTACAGACGATGCAGCTTGTAGCGTGCACCTGTCGGGGTTCGCTTTTCAAACTTATCACGAGCTATGATAAGTTTGTCGTTCCAAGCGTCACGACCTACATCCTCAAGATTATGGATGTAAGCGTTCCACGCTTGAAGCAGTGAGGGACCATCAAGTTTTTAATTCCCACTGTACCATCGATGTTTAAAGAAAGCATCGATGAAGAAATCGTTCTCAGCGCGATAGTTTTTCGTACTGGGGTCAAGGTGATGGACCCTTGACGAATCGAACAACCGTGTTCGATAACGATCACTCGTCGTCGCCGACAAGTGATCCATGACGGATTTAGGAGGCACTCATGCCTTCTTCTCAGGAGCGAGACGCAACACATTGCGGTCCCGCTCTTCTTACGACGTGCTGACAGAAGGACTGGTACCTCGTTGCGAAGTGGTTACAATAGGAGAACCGACACCACTATTAGCGCCCGAGTCTCGCGACCTCGAGCGCCTTCTCTTCGGCGATGGTTCATCTGATGAATCAGATGAACCAAGGATGCTGCGACGCAAAGCATCGTCCATGCCACGCTTGGCAGGCGGCTTGGATTCGATCGCCGTCGATACGGATCCGTCTTCCGTATCAGGAGAGTATGAGACACCGAGCTCGTACTCTGTGAAGACACGAGTGTCTTCATGACCAGCGCCTGCATCACCAGGTGATACAGGCTGAGACGCTTTAGAAACCGATGACACATCGGTTGCTGTGGTTTCTGCTTCGGCGTCCGTACAGAGACGAGCGGACGCGCTCTCGGCGGCCTTGCTCGCGCATCGCATGGGGCTTGTTAACCATGCGATGAGATGTTGGAAAGTGGACTCGGACCAACAAGTGCAAACCCTGTCCCAAATGATTTGGGACGAGTATCCATTTAGTCAAATAGTCACTAAAGTGACTGATGGTTAAGGGGGGGGGTGATGTAACGGGGTGAACCGCAACATAACAATTTATAAGAAATTGTTAGTAGAATATAACTATGACAGTTATATTCTCAGAATATTGTCATAAGGACAAATATTCTACAGCACTTACGAGTACTTCCGAATTGGTTGATATAGGCCATTATATCAACCAACGAAGACGCGCCACGACAGACGCACGCAATGAGTGGTGAGCAGATAACTGATTTACACATTTGTATTCAGACATAGTTAGATGAAGATAAATAGTGATTTATTGCAGACATTAACTATTATAAATACAGCTCTACTTTTTATTTTAACCAAGTACTCGCTTCTTCTTACCGTCTTCCTCTGCACGTACGAGTGTACGTGAAGTTCCGAGGCACCGCCTCATTCTGTCATCAGAATAAGTAGCTTGTACTGTTACCAGTACAAGCTTCAGGGTTCCCCGTTACATCGCCCCCTGCCTCCAAGTCCGGGAAGCCAATAACCAAGCGTGTTCGTCGTGCCAAATCGTCGCCGGGTCGATCGAATCTGTCTGAACCATCGGTCTCCCGGTCGCTTTAGTCGAAGCGATCGGAGGCCAGCGATCGTGCGGAGTCTCCACCTCGATCGGCTTCCCCTAACCTGTTTGGTTCTCGATCTGTGCCGTCCGAGGGATCGGAGAGTGACGACCACTGTTTTTCTTCTTCCGCGGAGACTGATGATTTACTTTTGGCGGCGCTTTCATCATCTCGCTCTGCCGCGTGACGTAGAGCTACGTCGCCTTCCAGGAATTCGTCTCATTCCAAAAATTCGTCACCTTCCAAGAAATTGCCGCCGATCAACATCGATGTTCCTAGTCCAATACCTTAATCTTTGATACCGCCAGGGCGAGTATTAATGACGGAATTGTTTGGAGAACATGCTAGTGACTCTGACGGTGCTCTTAGCCTTTCGAGTGATCCTCGGAGTTTCTGCTATCTACTGTTGTCTCCTGCAACAATTCCGGCGCTTAATGACACCCACGTACCTCGCGATCGCTGGATTCCGACGTATCGCGATCGGTTCCGCGATTGGCCGTGGACGTATTTCCTTGGTTGGCTAGAAGAATCAGTTTAACCATCGTCGAAGCTGGACATTGACACTTTCTTCCGCAATTTTTCCGAGCCAAAAGGATGTACATTCTTGGTAACCTAAGGCAAGATCCGTGCTCCTCCGAAGTCTTCTTGATCCTCCCATCTGGTCACCCCCACCATAATTTAGCAGCTCTACGATAAGCAACCGTGGTATGCGTACGATCAGATTGTAAACCTAATCTCGTTCAAACGTTACGGGTGGTTCCAGAAACTGTATGACGCGTATCAAGGTTTCTCGGAGAGCCATCGTCAAGCTTTGTGGGAGTCGACACACTTCTTGTATATTTTCCCTGCGCAGCGCAAATCGGACCCAGGGCTGGCTGCTATTGCTCAAGAAAGAAGGCAGCGAAGATTTAGTGTTGGCCCGCGATGAAAAAGGGTGTTACAGGTGATTTTGCAGGAAATGATCGACGGGTTTTGCGATCTTGACATCTTGTTGGATCCAGTGTTCCTCCACTTTCTTCGTCATAACGAAAACAGAGTGTGGTATCCCGGCCTGTTTGTAAAGCGGGCCAACTTACCGGACCTGATCACCGCCCTATTGATCGATCATTCTGCAGAGCGTTGGAGGAAACAATTTCGTGGCCGAATCGCCTCTCACCCTAGTTCGTCTCTCCCTCCATTGGTTGGTAAGTTCTTTGACCATGAAAAATTCTTAGGTCAGTTTCCATATCGCGATCTTTCCATTTTTTTCATGTCCACTCGGTCGCTCCCATAATTCTTATTTCTTCCTTTTATTTTTTTCGTGATCGCACCAATTGTCTGCGATCGTCGTGTTCAATTTCTATCGATTCCATTCCATCTCCATGTGCAAACCCTTTGCGCCCAAAACTCTCCCTTTTGTCCATGCACTTTCTTTGCATAACCCATCCAACCAAGCTCTCCGATCGTTGCTTTTCTCCATCTTCTTCTTCGCGCTTTTGCAATATCTGAAAACGATTCCTGCTCACCCGATCGCGATCAAACTCTTGTATCATAGCTCCACAATTTTATATCAGCTTCATCGACCCAGGTCGGGTCGCTGTACTCCTTCCATTGCACTAGGTACTGTTTATATTCTTTCATATTTCGTCTTTCGTCCCGATCGCACCTGGACAATCTTGTCCACTTCAAACTCACTCGCGTCAGGGTCACCCTCCCAGCTGTCGTCCGGCAGTAACGCTTCGTCAAAATTAAATTGACTCGCCTTGCCCACATTCAGCTCACCTGTTAGGCGTTCTGGAAATATGTTTGAATTAGCTTCAGCTTAGACAAGTGGATTATTGGAAATAGCCGGTACGACGTGCCTGCGATTTCCAACTTTACAGCGTGATCGCCGCACTTCTCGGCCACTCGGAAAGGTTCATGCCACATATGAGCTAGCTTCCGAGCATATCCTTTCTTGACCCGGTCTAGGTATAGCCAAACCTGCGAACCGCGGTCGATAGTGAATCTCGATCTTCATCGTGCCGATCGGCTCGACCTCTTATCGCAGCCTTTAATCGTTGTTTACCAGCAACCGAGCACGTTGGTATTGACGTTGTATACCATATCTCCATCTTTGGGCATCTCGATCCTGGGGCTCGGTGCTTCCCAACGGTAAAATAGCTTCTAAGGTCGATCTTGGATCCCAACCATGAATCAAGTATAATGGTGCATCTCCTTGAATTCGTTCTTGAGCGGGTTTGATCACACTGGTCAATAGGTCCGCACATTTGTCCCAGTCCATTTGAGTCTCGTCCATAACATACATCCTGATCGATTTAGTCAGCGTTTGCACCATGTGTTCGGCCGTACCATTAGCTTGCGTTCTATACGCCATTGTGGCCCGTTTTTTTGTCCTGCGATCCGATTGAATGCTCAGAAGAAATCAGACATAAATCCTGGCTTAAAATCGTGGCGTATTGCCTCACCCGCCCGAAATTGTCGGATCCCACACTCCTCGTAGTTTTCTGCGATTGTCTGGGCAGACCTGGACGAGCTTGCCTATGCGATTACATTTCCAGAGAATAGATCGACCCACAGCAGCAGCTTGTTGTTTCCTATAACGATCTTGGAAACGAGGGGAAGTGATCCATAGCTATAATTTGAAATGGGTATGTCGATTGCACATTACCAGGCGATGCACTTCGATCCCTCGGTCGTCCCTTTTCTGTTTCACAATCTATTCACTCTCCCACATACTGCTGTACACTTCGGTACAACCCACACCAATGAAAGTTCGCTCTGATTCGCTGATAGGCACGATTAACCTTTTGGTGACCACCCTTCAAACATGTGTGGTAATGATGCAAGAGATCTAGCTGTAATCGTTCTGGAACCAGTAACCGAGCCAGTTCAGTGCGATATTCAGCTTCGGTTGCTGATCTCGGACAGAAAAACAACAGTCCACTTTAGTCCACTTTATAGTCCGCGCGATCATGACACATACCTTCGCTTCAGCGGCTGATAGTTTGGCTATATCTCCAACCAGATATGTCTTCAGACTCGATATCAACTTACTTCCTCTACTTTTGCTTAATACGACTGACCCTTATCTGCTGCACCACCTCTTCTTGTAAAATCCTGGGCTGACAACTTCTTCTCTGGGCTGATCAAGTGATAGACGTTACTCTGACCAGAAAATCGAATTTTTCGGGTAGTATAATTCATTTAATTAATTGAGAGTGACCAGGTATTGACGCTTTTGATTGGAACAACAATTACCCCTTTCTCTTACCGTAGAGCCTCACTCGCCAGTCGATCTTCACTCTGATTCCAGTCCCTCTTTATGTGTAGGAACTCGTGAGTTTGCCATGATCTTAATATCTCCATAGCCCTTTGCTTCAGCAACTGCAATCCCGGCGCTTTACAGTCGATTTCTCCTCGCAGTTGACGAATCACAAGATTTGAATCTCCACAAATGATCACACGTCCTCTTGCCTCATCAGCAACCAAATCAAAACTTAAGAACAGCCCACGATATCCTGCTTCATTCACGGTTAGGTCAGGGGTAAACTCGGAAGCCGCAGCCACAGTCGTCCATTCTGGCAGTTTCCAAATAGTCGCGCTGTAAGTTCCTCCAATTTTTCTTTTCACGCAGGCTTATCCATCGAAAATGGCTACTAGCTAGATTGCTTTCACTCCCACTGTAGGTGGTGGCATGTTGATCGTCTGCCTTGGCTATTTTCTCGGGGCGATAGCAATCAATACTCCAAAAAACTTCTTCTCGTGGTGTTTTACTTGCCACCAGCAAGCCTAGTTTTCCATCTTCTCCCTTTTCCGATCGCCTTATTTCCAGCGTCTAGTTCGATAACAAAGCAGACCATCTTCCTTATCTTCCGTTAAAGCCTGACGATTTTAGTAACCACGCTAGTGTTGAGTGTCGCGTAAGCACCGTAATCTCTCGGGATACCAGCATAGTATAACGGATGTCTAACATCCGGAGGAGAGCCAACACCTCTTTCTCCACCTTTCCGTAGTCAACCTAGTTAAGTTTTAGCGTGCGACTCGAAAAGGTGACGAGCCAATACACGCCATCATATTATTGAAGCAAAGCAGCTCCTACAGCTCACTTACTAGCATATACTACAATCACAGGCGGTTGATCGGGATAAAATGTTTCAAAATCGGAGTAGTGGCTATCTTAGCCTTTAAAAATGTATATGCGATCATTAGAAATTCCATCGATTTCTACCCTCGGAATCGTGATCGTCTCCTGCAATTGAGTAACGATCGACATCGATTTCCGATTCAAATCGTGATCACCCACTCCATTCTCTTCATGAGTAATCTCCGGCT